TTACGCGCCGTGAGCACACACCGTGTGCAACTAAAGGAAAAATAAAGGAAAAGAAGGAGGAAAATAAAAGAGAGAGATGGAGAGACGAGAATCGAACGGAGAAAAGAGAAGAGAAGGAATGCGCGAGAGAGGTTCGGCGACGGAAATCGTCTAGAAAAGGAAAGGAGAATTGCGGGTATGAGAGGAATCATAACGGCGACACTATCGGCTGGTATTTTATTGGATTTTAGAGATACGAATTTTTTCTTGTTTTCGACAGATTTTGAAATTAAATTTAAATTTCGAATTAAATACTTGCTTATATTGTTGATTGTGTATAATATATTATTATTATAATATAGAGATTCGAGAAATCTTATCCTCGTAAAAAATTTAAAAAATTGATGAAAAATTAATGACATTAGTTCCTAAATCTCAAATATTTCCTTAAAACATCCACGGTCTAATCACGATAATCAACTTCTTAAAATCAATTCTTATTTTCCACGCATCCGTTCCTATCCTAAAAAAAGAACTATTTCGATATCGATTGATATTGATATCTCCCCAAACTCTACACGTGGCCGTTTGTTTGGCCAGACAGAACGCATAGGTAGCATCGTGATCGACCTCGAACGTGCCAAGATCCTCGTCTCTGGTACGATTCGAGTAGCATTCGAGAGGTATAAAGCATCGTGGATCGAATGGAACGAGAGCCGCCTCTCCCCTGATCGATCTCCGCCGCGACTAGTACGCGGAACTGAATCCGGATCGGATGAACGAGGGAACCGGGCAACTTTATGCGCCTGCTCTGTTTCTCTTCCTTCCGTGGGAAGCGATCTCTCTCTCTGCCACCGCCTTCGTTGCCTCGCTCTTCTTTCTCGCTCCCTCCTCCCTCCCTCTCACTCTCTCGTGTTACTTCCGCGCCTGGAATCCCACGCTTACGCCGCTACGAACGTCAGAGGCGTAAATCCGAGAGAGCTTCCTGGGCTGCGAAGCGTCGCGGCGTCGTTAATGATAGCTCCGAGCCGCGCTCTGC